CATTATGTTGTTGTGACAGCGCTATGATAAGAAGAACGTGAACTGCTCAGCTCTCACAGTCAGTTGTGAGACACAAGGCCAGCAGCTGTCCCCTGAACTGCAGCCAGGCTGGAGGCCAACACTGGCAGCTTGGAGACTGTATTCGTAGGTTGCATGCTAGTATACCGCACCTGTCTGTCTGTTCAGAAGTCAAGTGAACTCTTCCCCCTTCTTCATCATCATCATCATATTATCGTGCTTAGTATTCCCTGTGGCCGCCAGCTGTGAAAATCCAATGAATTAAAACAAGCACAGTGGGTTTAGTCCCAGGAGGACAGACACAAAAGAAGTGTCAGTGTCTCTGGGGTTTCCTGATACTGTGAGGCTGTAATTACTTCAAGTCACACATGACAACATCATTATGTGGCCCGCCACCAACGCCCTCCTTGGAGGACATACAGAAGAGATACAGTAAAACCAAACTGGAAGCGTACACATAGGAAACTGCAACCCACAAACACTGGAGACGACTCAGTCAGGAACAACACAGCCTCTGACATACTGGTGACCATAAATGATACTGTGGGGCGGCTGTGGTGCAGAGGCAGAGCGGTCGTCGCTCCTCCTGCCACGTGTCGAAGCATGCATGAGCAAGATACTGAACCCCGAATTGCTCCTGATGCCGTGCATCGGTGTGTATGAATGAGTTAGTTTCTGTTAGACTGGGCCCCAGCTGAGCTGAAATGTGTGTTGAAAGGGTTGAATGTGGCACGTAGTTAAGCGCTTTTGAGTGGTCTAAAGACTAGAAAGTATACAAGTGCAGGTCCATTACCATTACTGACTATGAATCCTCCATCACCAAGACATACAAATTATGAAAGTACAGGAGTAGGTTGCTAAAAAATAACTTGATGGTTCTCATTAACAGTCCCGACTTAGCCAGCACCCCATGTCCTATCTACTAATCCTATCTATCTATCTATCTCTATCTATCTATCATCTCCAGTGTGCACCAGAAATTGCTCTGAGACTTCTCCCTCTATATGAGCCTTCACTCCTTCCTCTCAACTGGAGAGGTGCCAGTTTCACCTCCTGTGCACTGCCGAGTGCCCTTGAGCCAAGGCAACCCAACCCCCAAGAAACTGCTCATGGGCTAACGTGGCATCCCATCACTCCCACCATCTCTCCCCCTGTTGCATGTCCACAAGTGTGAAGTGTGTATTTCAGCCTGTGTGTGTGTGTGTGTGTGTAAGAATAAAAAATAGTGAAAAGAAGAATTTCCCTAATAGTTAATTAATAAAGTTATTCTTCAAAATATCCATCCATACCAATATTTTAGCCTGTAAACACAAGCCTCATCATCTGTACTGATTGTGCTATGGACATGCAGAGTCACTGCGAGTGGAGCTACTGATCATCACCTCACCGCACATGCAGTGCCATTATTTGTCTCATTTCATCAGGCCGCCACCCCCACCCATACTGTTCTATAGTGTGTTTTCTGGCACTAGTGGTGGTGGTGGTGGAGTCTCTGTGGAGGTTCCATGACCTGGTAGGCTGATCTGGACCTCTCAACACCCACACACTAAAAATAGCTGCAGCAGCAGCAGAAGGAGCAGCAGTGTGTTCACATACTGAAGATAGACAGCCTCGCCGCAGCAGCTTTGGGAAACAGATTTTACCCTGTAGCATTACAACGTGTGTGTGCGCATGTGTGTGCACGTGTGTGTGTGTGTGTTACGCTTTAGTTCTGCTGTCAGAACTACAGTCCAAGCCTCAGAACTACAGGCCCCCATCAGATCTGATTAGCTGATCTCCATACAAAAACCCTCCTTTGCAATATATTTCAAAGAAATGTTTCTATTAATGATGCCCTTTGGTACTATTCAGTTTTTTTAAAAATAGTATAGTATTATTAGTATAGTATAGTATAGTATAAATAAGTTTTCAGCAGATTCTGTGGATAATTTGATTCTAATTAAGTAGAGCCTAAATAATCCTCTGACACTACATATTAAAAATGGAGGGACACTAGATAAGTTACAACTGATATTCTATAAACCAAACAATTAATTCATCAAGAAACAGATTAATCAATAGTGAAAATCATAATAATTTGCAGCCCTTATGGACCTGATGACTTAAGTTATATTTACAAGTAGTACTAAGGACTTACTCACTTTTGAATGTTCCTCTGTACAATTATAAACCGGCTTATATTTTATTCATAGGGGGGTTTGTAATGAATGGAGTTTCCTACAGTGATAGTACCTTAAAAGGCATCGGTATGGATGTTGAGATATTTGCAGGTATTTGAAGTTTATGGAAAATTCTAGAAAGACCTGTGTTATGAACGTGTTGATTTGTGATTGAGGCAGTCCAAGTGTTCAGAACTCTCCGGGTTGTTCTTCATATTAGTCAGATGTCTGACACACATTACAGGGTTCACTGAGGGCAATGCTCTCTTTTTCAGAAAGGTCCTGATCACATTCACACTGGAAGCCCAGTACAAACACAGTTTGATCTGCTGCCACTGAGCAGCTCCACTGAAGCAGGTGGGGTTGAGGGGACGAGGGAGGGGCCAGCGCTTTCCCCACTCAGAGTTGAACCGATGACCTTCCGGTCACAAGTTTGCTTTCCTGCTACTTTGGCCACCACTTCCATTCTTCAGCCATCTGTCTTTGTTGTCTGTTCACACACACTCTTCTATGTGTGTGTGTGTGTGTGTGTGAGTGTGTGTTTGCCTGCTCTGCGATGTGTGTGTGTTTGACGCAGTGTGTGTGATGCAGTGGTTTCTGCTGTAGGCTCTTGAACACAAAAGCATGGGGAAATGGTTTCCTAGCAACCGTGGTGTTCACAATTTCATGACCCTTGGATGCTGCACATGTGTGATGTGTCTGGAAACTGAATATCTGCCACAGACGATTTTAACTCAATCCATTGGTCACACACACACACAAACACACACACAGGCATTTGTCATGCATGGATGGACATGTAAAATTTGCCTAACAGCTACACCATTACAATCATCTCTGCCAGATCAGTTAAAGGTAAATGGGAGCGACCACTCAAAGCGCTTTTACACTACATGCCCCATTTGCCCATTTACACACATTCACTCAGTAAAGTTCATCAAACAGAAACTAACTCATTCAGGAGTATTACGTACTTCAACGCGAGGCAAGAGGAGCCGGGGATCGAACCAACAACCTTCCGATTAGTGGACAACTCGCTCTACCTCTAAGCCACAACCCCAGCCGCAGTGTGTAACATTTAGGAGGACCTATTGGCAGAAATGGAATATAATATTCATAACTATCAGGGGTGTTTGGAGTTTTTGGTCCGGTACGTTTTTCGTTTAGCAAAATAAAAGTTAACAACTGTTTGCCTTTAACATAATTTTGGATAATAACAAAGAACAAACACATTCATTGCCAAATCTTAATTAAGGTTTTCTAATTAGTGCAAACAAAAACGCTGCTTTATTATTATTACATAAAAAGAATAGATTACTAATCACATGCTGAAATCCCACACTGTTACTTTTGGTTTGGGAATCGGGCTTCAGAGCAGACCAACACTGCATGCACAATTATTAGGCAAGTGAGTATCTTGACCTTATCATTTTCATGCATATTTTCCAACTCCAAGCTATATAAACTTGAATGCTAATTGGATTTAAGCATTATCAGGTGATGTGTATTTGTGTAATGAGGGGGGGTGTGGCCTAAAGTGATCAACACCATATATCAAGCTGTGCATAATTATTAGGCAACTTCTTTACCTCAGACAAAATGGGCCAAAAAAAAAAAGGAGATTTAACAGACTCTGAAAGGTCTAAATTTGTAAAATGCCTTTCAGATGGATGCAGCACTCTTGAAGTAGCTATGGTATTGAGGCGTGATCATCGAACAATCAAACATTTTGTTGCAAATAGTCAAGAAATGCGTGGAGAAAAAAAAAAAGGCGCAAATGAACTGCTAAAGACTTGAGAAGAAGTGAAGCTACCAGGAACCCATTAACCTCCAGTGTTAATATATTCCATATTCCAGCAATGCAACCTACATGGAGTGTCCAGAAGTACAAGGTGTTCGGTCCTCAGAGACATGGTCCAAGTAAGGAAGGCTAAAACACTACCACCCCTGAACAAGATTCATAAGTTGAAACGTCAAGACTGGGCCAAGAGATATCTGAAGACAGATTTTTATGGTTTTTCCGGTTTTATGGAAGGATTAAATGAGAGTGATTCTTGACGGACCAGATGGATGGGCCTGTGGCTGGATCACTAATGGGCACAGAGCTCCACTTCTAGTCAGAGCGCAAGCAAGGCTGGCAGGTGTGGCTACCTGGTTAATTGGGCAGTTTGTTATTAGGGATGATGCCTAGCTTGGACCTTTTCTGGTTGAATGATCGCGGACTTAAAATCAACTCCCAATACCTACTGCCAGTTTTTTTGAAGATATTTTCTTCAAGCCAGTGGTACAGGAAAAAGTCAGCATCATCTCAAGAAGGCCATGATTTTTATTTCTAAATTTCGCCCCATGATTTTATTTCTAAATTTCGGAGTTGTCATTAGGGCCGAGCACTGACCGCGTGGAGGCCTCATTTATCTGTAGGAACTCTTCTTTTTAGGGCCGGAGTACTGACTGTGCGAAGGGGCCCTAGTTGTAATTGAAAAGAGATTCTTTTTTAGACGCCCGAGCAACCTCTGAACCCTGGTGCGAAGGCTCTATTTGTAATTGAAAGGAATTCTTCTTTTTTAGGGCCTGAGCACTGACTGTGCGAACGGCGTGCCTATTAGTACATCTGTAAGGCAATATTAGTGGGCCCAACATTGATTTTTAGGGGATTTCTTATTTTAGTAACAATGAATCGCCATTTTTTGGAGGCTTTCCCAGGCTCGAAAATCTCATGAAACGGGGGGCACCTTCAGCTCGTGATCATGATTTTGTTATTTGTTTATTTTCTAGGGTCCACTAGTTGATTCTATGGCAAAATGGCCCCCTCAGGGCGGGCCCATAAACTGTACCACCCAGGGCCCCTTTCTTTTATATGCATAAAAATCGGCACCACGTCTAGATCTTATCCTGACGCACAAAAAAATCAAGTGGGTGCCATATCCTAAACCCAACAGGAAGTCGGCCATTTTGGATTTAGCGGCCATTTTTGGCGATTTGCACACATATTTGAACGAACTCCTCCTAGGGAATGTATAGGATCAACTGCAGATTTGGACACAGCCATCTGAAGACATTCACGATTAAAAGTTGTGGTATTTACGACATTCCGTCAATATTCTCCTGAGAAAGCTAAAACTCACTTTTCCTTTGTTAAATACTCAGGTTTGAGGTTTATCAACATGTTGGATTGAGTATATAAACGCACTGTACTATTGAAAATAAAATGAATCCTCAGGAATACAACTTGCCCAATAATTGTGCACGCAGTGTACATTTATGTCTCTATCTTTTAACCATGTTCAAAACGTGGTTGTCTTTTCAACATAGATGAGTTTTGTAAAGAGCATATCTAAGTAAAGGAAAGGAGGAAGTTGACTGAGATTCTGACTGCTCAACTGATATAGGAACACAGAAAACAGTGTTTAATTAGGAAGTATTTTGGCTCAGCCAGGAAGTATCTCCTACCCTTAGTCCTGTTGATGTGGATAAAACTGAAGGATTCTCCAAAGATTCAGGAGACTGTGGCTTTCTGGACAGGTGCTTGTCATTTAGCTGTTTGTTAAGCCATCTTATAACTGTGGTAAAAAGAAAAACATAACAGGATGTTAGATTGGTTAGAAAACAGGCATACTTGGCAAGGAGCTTTGATCCTCATACTTTTAGACTTTAATTTGTTAGCAATGTGATATTTCAAGAATTGCAAAATCACTGTTTTGACATACCCAGTTCTCTTTAATTTGTTTCTTCTTTCTAATGGCAGGAATACACCATTGTGTTTCAGGCTTACTGCCATCATACAATGTAACAGATTATTAACACGTGCTGCATACATGCTTCTTGTCAATAGTTTTTTCATTCATTAAAACTACTTCCTAGTTCCTAGAAAACTACTGAAGGTGAAGTTTGTGGATTGTACGAAATAATGGAGACACTGTTTCTGATAAGAGATGTTGCTGTTCATTTTGAGTTTGGCAGGCACAGTAGTTTCTTCTACGAACTTCACAGCCATTTCTCATTCCTGGTCAAATACAAACAGTTAGTTTTAATATTTTAAACTTCACCACTAGATGCCACTAAATCCTAGACAATGGACCTTTATATTAAACTACAAGCTTTTCAGCCTACCACTTTTCACAAATAGCCTATGTGTTTTTGATGTTTTATGAAACATAGAAGGTGCAAAATAGAATATAAAAGATTTCTGAGCATTTATACCTCTGACCGCCACCACAGTATATAGACCACAGTTGCCATTTACATTATTATTCACAGAGTAGCTTTAAAGCAGTGAATGAAACAGACATTATGGTATATTTTACTGCAGTCAAATACTGTATTGTTATATGTATTACATTTATTAATCATCTAACACCGGGAGGCTTTGTTGTTTAATAAGGTGACTGAATGACGGCAATATATACTCATCTAACCAGCCAGGTGTGTGTTCAGTGTTGGCTGGGCAGAGTTTTATGCCAATTTTGACCATTATGTCTTGTTCCTGTAAATTTTAGTTCTTTTTTTTTCTACTGCTTTGGAGTTTACAAGAAATTATAGAGCAATTTTTGTTAATGATTGAAAGGTTTGTGCTTGGCAAATCAATTATTCAACAAGTTGAGTGTGTGTTTTTGAAAAAGAACAAAACAACAACAAAAAAAGACTTTTACCCATTTAAGGCTTCACCTTCGGATGGCATGACAGTAGTGGAGGGAATGAAACAGACTTTGATATATTTAACTGCAGTCAATGCCGAAAATGCTAATTATACATTAGTGCACCAAATGCCGAAAATGCTAATTATACATTAATGCACCAAAAAACCAAAAAGAAAATATGATTCATTTATTAAACACCTGTTTAACAAGCAGAATACAAACTTTCAGACTTTGACCACCCAGCAAGTCCTGTTTCTACTCGACTCCCCTGCTTATTTTGTAACTTGTAGGAGGTGCTAGAATGCTGGCGGTCCTAGTGCAAAATATTTTTTTATGCTGAAATTAAGGTTTGGGTCAGGCTCTGGCCCAAAACTGCTGTCACTGTTCGGGATCGCACAGAATATTTTTTGTGCCTGAACAAAGCTCTAATCACAAATAGTTGGAAGCCAATCCTGGTCCAGTGTGCAGCTTACACAAGTGTGATGTTGAACCTGACACCTCAAGTGCACATACATTGGACTTTTCAATGAAAATGGAGGCGTCTTGTGTCCAACAGTTAAACTTTTGAAATGAACGATATATGCATATTCATAGCTTCTTGATTTTCAGTGAGGAAGAACATGCCATTCTTCATTGTTTCTTTATCATTTTTTAACAAGGTAATTGAACTTTGTTGTGTAAAACACAATCAAACACAAACTATTATTTCAGAGTATTTTTATGTTTTTTAAATCATGGCTGGAGTGGGTTTTCAACACTGAGGGATGAGAAGGAACCTTCATTACTATAATTGGTAACACTTGTGTTTACCCTACTATTTAATGTCAAATTGGCTGCTGTGAGAAAGGTTGCAGTGTCCATTGGTTGACATAACTATAGTTAGTCGATTAATCAATGAGACAAGATGAAATGAGAAGTTTCCTCACCATTCTCATTGGTTTTTAACACCTCTCTGCTTTCATTTAACTTCTGTACCGTCGTCTCCAACTGCTCTTTCAGTTTTGAAACCTGTAAAATACAAATGATAGCATCCTTAAGTTAATATTAAATCATTTCTTTTGTATACATTAACCTATATCTAGTCTACAAACTGGTGTCAGCGGTGCACATTCTGTGTTGGCGTTTGTAAGTCAGAGTTAATGTGGGTTGTTGAAAAGCAATTTGATCTGTGATTTTCCTCTGGATGAAAATTAGTTAATAAACTCCGACACATTTACATTGCTGTGTAACCTTGAACGCTGATTAATGTGCATTGCCCCTGGTAATTGAAATAAAAATCAACTAAATAATACTGTATATTAGTTTTATGTACATTAAATCATCTAAACATTGCACCAAATGCATAACTGCAATGCATTGTGGGTGATATCCACCTCGGAGTGACCATCGTTGTTCACTCGCTCCCTCAGCCCTCTGAGGGGAGTGTAGAGGGGAGGTCAACGATGGCAAGTTAAACGACTATTGAAACGCAGCTTTGGTTAGTAGACAGGGGGATTTAGTATTAGACCCACACAAATGTACACATTAACCGAACGTTGCTACCGTAGTTGGTAAATAAATAATTATTTCATGAACAGCCTGAACTATTTTGGGTCATCGTAAGGTCGCTGATGTTAGACCATGAACCAGAAAATCCACAGGAAAGGCTTAGATGTCTGCCTTCTTCTGCAGTGATCCACTATTTTCAGGTTAGAAAATAACTGTAATTGTGTTTCTTAATTTGAAAATGTAATAATTACATTACTAGTTACGGCCAAAAGTAATGGAAGTACAGTAATGTGTTGCTTTGAAATGCCAACACTGGTCACTAGGGGTTACTCATTTTATTCCATAGGCATACATAATAAAATGTCTTATATCTCCATAATGGAAATATTGGAATTGGGATGTATAATATGGATTTTTTCCCCCAAAGTTTTTTGATACAATAACTAATAATTAATAATGCCCACAAGAATAATTACCTGCTTCTCATGGCTGAAAATGTCACAATTTATTTTTTTCTAGTGAAGTTCATCAGAAAACATCAAAAACATACTTTGGCTTTCATAGAACCTAAAGCCTATCAAATGGTTTAGATTAGAATTCCAAATAAATGATTATTAATATCAAATGCTAATTTATTGGGTGTAGTTTAAGTATTAGGATCATTCAGAATAATATAAATTTCCCACTATCGGCTGATAATTATCGCGCATCCCTATACTGAATGAAGAAAAAGCAACCGCAACATTTTTCTTTTCAAATCTATAGTGTAACAATCGCAAATCTGGTACATCGGAATTTGAGAAGATCTGAAAGTGATGCTTAAAGATGTTAAATGCAGTGTGTGCAGTTTCCATGATTTGAAGACATACCTGCTCATCCTTGCTGACGAGCTGCTGCTGAGTTCTCTGAAGATCCATTTCAACATTTTGAAGTTTTTCTGACGTGTCCTGGAGGACCTTCTCCTGTGACACAGTCACAGTGTTTTTTACTTTTATTTTTCCAACTAGGCCTCGAACCTCTCCCTGCAGCTTCTTAATGATACCATTAGCCTGGATAAGAAATTGAATAAAGGAGATAAGAAACTGGAGTATGTTCAAACATAAGGTGCAGTTAAACAGTATACCCAGTTGCCAGTTTATAAGGTACACCACACACCTGTTTCTAATATTTTGTCTACCCAATGATTATCAATAAAGCTAAGTCAAATAACAGATAACTCCCTCTATAATGCAAAACCATTCAATAGCAACATAAAGTACATCCTCGAAACTGATTGAGAAAAGTTTTATTACAGGGCTGTTCAATTAGACTGTATTGGTTTTGTGTTTTTAGAATGTTTACAGATATAAAAGTAAACACTGTTTTTACCAACCTTTATCAGCTCCTCAGACAGTGATTTCACCGTTGCTTCAAGTTTTCTGATCTGATGTTCTTTACTTTCAGCATTGTCTTCCATTGATTCCTACAAAACAAAAAACATACAATTACAAAATTTAGGAATTAGAATTATAAGAAAGAGAACCTACTTAAAGAATAAGTCTGCTGTTATTCTATTTTTCTTACTTACGACAATGTGTGTTTCTCTCTAATTTCTCTACGCTGTCTGTGGCTCTCACACCTAAAGGATTTTTTCTTGCTAGCAAATATCTATCTTTAGGGCAGAATGTGAGTGTTCATGGAACTAACTATGATACTCTCTCAGATGTGTCTTCAACACCTGTGTCTGGGTGGTAGTTCATGCTGCAAAATAGCGATACCAAGCAGATAGCACACACACACATATTTATATATATAATTTAAGAAAGCAGCCTTCCGAGTACCTTTGCAGGGTCATATCTGTGCACAATTCACATATTTTCATTCTAGCTCAAAAATTAACTATATAGACCACCATATTGGTAATTGCAGAATTTACACCTCTAAAAGACAGCAGTACTATGTATGCAGGATTGTCTCAACCTAAACTACAGTGTGTGTTCATGGTAATGAAGGACCATGTCACCTTGAGGAATGAGATACAAATTAGAAACTCACGTGATGACAGCTTTAATCACACAATGCGAATAAGGCGGACTAAACTTGGCCTGTGGAAAAATAGCCCTAGCAATATGAATGAGGAACCATGTCTCAAAAGTGTATTAGGTGGATGGTGTGTAGCATAAGACCAGGACATGCTAAAAGTGTCACTGAAGATTATTGTAATTGTTTTGTATTTATTCCCAACGTGGCTTTTCAGGTGATTGAAAAAATACACATACAGTTGCAGATCTTACCTTCTGCTGCTGAGTGGCTTCCAGCACCTCTTTTGTGCGGTGCATGAGCTGGTCCTTATCCTTGATCTCTTGTTCCAGAACAGCTACTCTCATCTGGAGCTGGCTCACCAAACGCTCCTTCTCATGGACCTCTGTATCCAGAGTGCTGTTCTCCCTCCTGAGAGACAGGACCTGTTGCTTCAGACGCTGGCACTCCTATACACACACACACACACAACAGCAATGTTCATCAATAATCAGTTTTTAAATTATAATTATCATCTAGGAGAAAAGAACAAAATAGCTTACACCTCAGTACACCCAACCAGAGGACATAGTTTGTATTCTGTATTACAAATATCTCATTAAAAAGGTCCAGTGTGTAACATTTAAATTAAGTTTAGGACACTGTGTGACACCTGGGTAACAACTCCAAATGTAAGGCACTACCTTCTGTAGCTACTATCCACTACCTCAGGTATGTTTAGTGGTTAATCACCTTAATATAGGAATCGTTATGTTGTGTTTTATATCCACAGAAACTGAGGGTCCGCCACGTTAAACCACCATGTTTCTACAGTAACCAGGAGGGATTAACCAAACACTGGCTCTAGATATGGCTGATCACCTTTTTTGTGCATTTCGTGGCCATAGTAGTTTCTGCTTTGCACTTGGAAGAGGAGGGTGAAGCAAAGGGGTTGCAATCTACACCACTAGATGCCACTAAATCCTACACCTATCCTATTAATCCTATTAAAAGATTTGTTTAACATGAGTGATTGTGTAAATGAAACACCCATTATGTTGACATGGTGTTTCCCAGACAAAAAATGCTGTATTAAGTTACTGCCAACGGAAACCTACTGCTGCAGCTTCATATCAAAAGGATTTAACTGGCGAAACACGAGTTTACAAGGCAATATTGATCAAAATAATCGTGAAAAAATAAAGAAAATCTGTTATTTGCAAGTTTAAAACAAACAATAATGTGGTTCCAGTCATTCCTCATCCATCCTCGTCATACACTTACCTCCTCTGCGCCCACTGCTGTAATCTTCAGGTCTCTAATGGCAGACTCGTTCTTGTATTTCCTCTCTGTCAACTCTCTGCAGGATGCCTCCAGCTCTGTCAGCTTGCAATGAAGCTGCTGGCTGCTCTTCTTGTGGGCACTCTCCAGCTCCTGACGGAGCTGCTCAGTCTGCTGCTGAAGCCTGCTCTGTAACTGAAAGACATACAAAATAAACATCTCAAAGAACTCCTGCAGCATATTCCACTTCTTGGCTGTTGATCCTTATGCTTTGTATGTTCCCAAAAAAAAAAACCTGCATCCCTAACAAGCACTAAATACACTACAGAGATTCAGAGCTATGATAAAGCAATAACATAACACAGAGTGGTTGTCTGTGTTGAAGAGCAACAAGATACAAACCCCTTTTCAACATGGGTCTTTAAGATGATTTTTATTATTTCATGTCGTTTAATAACAAACACAATAGATACATAGTCCAGTAAAGATAAGGAGCCTTACCTCCACAGCCTTTTCTCTTTCTGATTGTAACTCCTCAGAGTGACGGCTGGACAGACAGCTGGTCTGATTCGTCCACTCTGAACGCAGTTTGTCCAACTCTTTTGTCTTCTCAGACAGAGTCTGTGAGAGGATTACAGATATGTTAAGACAAGTACTGTTCCTTTTTTAACCACTTCGATAACAGCCATTTTTATTTTTACACAAAACTGTATATATCATTAGACATCAAAAATGAAAGGAAATCAACCCTTTGGTTGGCTGATTTAGGATGTAATATATATTTCATGGAAAAACCTTCACGAAGCTGCATCTTTTATTTAAGTTTTCTTCATCTTTTGATGTTTCGTTTCCATTCCACCATCCCAAACAGGGTCAGGGTGATGCTATTGTGCATGTTGGCTCACTGGAAAGGCTGTTTGGGTTACGGCAACTGGAAGAACATATCGTCAATTCCATCACCGGATGCTTTTTAGCCAAGAGCCGCTGCTCAGTGGTGCAGTATATACGATGAACCAAAGAAGAAGTGAGAGGAAAGGGGAAGCTGTAGAGCCAGAAGATTTTTGCATCCATCTCTGTGAACTCTTTTTCAACCAGTTTGATAACAGGGAATACAGTAACAAGGTGATTTACAGCAAGTCCAACCAGAGCCAAAGACACAGTGGGAACAGGCTGGGATAGGAGAGGCATTATGCAGGAGAGGAGCGAGAGGGACGTCAGGCAACAGAAAGCTAGTAGAGCCACAATATTTTCACATCTAATTCTGTTAGACACCAGAGTTGGTGATTGTTTAGAGCCAAGATAGATGAAAAGACACTTTGGGTTGGAGGCTTTAAGACAGTTGGTTGTTGAGTTTATTTCCCAGCATTGATATTTGAAGATCTGGGAACTCTTTCTCAGCTCTGATTGGTCAACATAAACAGATGGTATCAGACATCCGAGTTGTGCTTGTGTTTACCTTTGGTGTCCTTTCTTCATCCAAATAATACTATTCCTTGGGAAACTGTTTTCTCAATTGGTTTGATTATGGCTGTCATTGTTATATTGGCTGACTGTTTCAAGCTTGTGATTGTGATCGGATCGATTTTCCATCTCACCCAGCACTTTTGGAATAGCATGTGGACTACCTTGCTCCAATGAAAAACACACTCTGTTGAGCATATACTCAGTGCCTGGTAAATCCTCTTCAGTTTCTTCTTAAGTTTATTCTTAGGGCCTGCTTTTTCTGCCTTGAAACATTGGGATAACACATCTTTATTAAACATAACTTAAGAAATGGATATACTGTATACTATTACTTTAGCCTTTTCAGGAAGCATTAATTGTTCTAAAATATCCATGTAAGTGTTTATTTTTATTTAACTTTTTCAAGAAGCATTTCTCTCCTGATCTATATATTTTTTTCATTTAATCTTAAAAAGTAATTAGTGTTGCAGTGATTATTTTCTACCCAAATTTAAGCATTGTCCCTGGTTGCTTCGATAAAAACCAATGTGATTTTTCATTGGATTGGGATAATTTGCATTAAACATAAGTAAAAAGCTAACGTTTTAGTCCATTATAGCCTACCACCACAGCACCGAACTTCCAACATCACAACCCACTAAACTTTCCAACTTGTAATTAATACAAGTTGGAAAAGTTTGAGTGTGTCGTATTAACACAGTAAAGATGTACTAGTGAGTTGATAAGTTCCATTTTTAATGTCATCGACAAACTCTGTTAGTCTCTTAAGCTACTTGTAGCAACTTCGCCCTTTGTTGTACTTGTAATAGCTCCAAAAATACACAGGTAGAATATTTATTTGGTATTGAATTTATGTAACATAAAAATAATTCAAAAAATCCATTGACTTTGACGCGAGGGAACATTTTTAAGAGATGTAAATATGCTAACTCATTTTCGTGTTTTATGAGTGGATTCCTGCAGCACTCGTATACACTTAACTGGCAAACCAAACAATTACCCACTGTCGAGACAGACGGACCCCCCCTAGAGCGAAGGTCTGTCTAGGTTTCTGCCTTTAACAGGGCAGTTTTCCTTGCCCTTGTCGCAAGTGCTTGCTCATGGTGGAACTGTTGGGTCTTCTGTAAATGTTAAAAGGAGTCTCGGTTCAGACTGCTCTATTTGGAAAGTTGTCCTGAAGATTAACTTCTGTATGAATTGCGATATACAAATTAAAATTGATGAATAAGTAATGATATTAAAACCCATTGGCACTGTTTGGCTTAATGTTCTCTTTGCAGAACTCCACAAGCCAACCCAACTGTTTGATTGACTTGAGTTTTACAATGAAACCTCTATATCAAAAGCCAGACAGTATCGTGAAATTATGGTGAATGAGCAACCTTCAGGGAGGGAGAAGGGAACAACTGCCAGATAGTCTTTAACCTATTCAGAGCCGTGACGAGGCCGTTAAAGACAAGTGGTCAGATGCTTAAACGCATGTCTCTACACACTGAAGTTGGCAAGGGCCTTCCAGCAACTGCGAGAATAGACCATGACAAAGTGCAGAAGAAACCTTGGAAAAAGGGACAATGACAGCCATGTAGTGTATTTGATGTCTTTTTACTGGAAAACATTAGAATGAAAGCTCAATAATATTTTTGTACTACCCACATGATGAACTCAGATAAAGGTGATAAAAGGCAAACACATGCATGTCATGGTCTCAATCTTAGCATTATTTGCAATTTATCTTGTATTTCACAACATATATGTTAAACAAATTTAAATTATTAGGAACTGACCGAGTCAGAAATGTTTACGACAAGCTTAATATTTTGTTTATTTGTGGATTAGGGCAGGGGGCGATGTCACGTATCTTGCGCAAAATAAATAAATTCACAATATTATCACAAATTATCACACAATTATTATGAAAAAATAACTTCATGATCACAATGGACACTAAACAATACTAAAGAAATCACTTCCTTTACAATAAACAATATTTATGCATCACAAGATAGAAACCTCCCATTGCCCTGTTATTTTATTTTATCTTTTTTGTGGGGAGCGGCAAAGTTCAACCATCAGCCATGGTACAGAATAGAATTTAGAAATTGACTGGAAAGATGTGGCATCTATCCCTGTCCCTTGTTAAAAATAAATCAGGAAATTCACTGTACCAAACCTGTATGCAGGGAGATATCATCAATATCATATATAATTCCAATACACTGCTGAATTTATTTAAATAGTATGGGTGTTATGAATTGAGAGAAACTGAAAGTGAAATACATAAAAAAGGTTGAATTTTTAGTGAGGCTTCAATACAGTTTTTCAGTTGCAAGTGAATCAGATCATAACTTTATATATCAGTTTCAAAGTTTATTGGGGTAATTCAGTTCAAACTAATTAAAAAATCAATTATGCTATTAGATTCATTTTTTTAATGCATATATTCAAGTTG